TTCCTCTCCTCCTTTTCTTCTTCCCATTCTCCTTCTCCTCCTCTCTCTTCCCCCTCCTCCTCCTCTTCCCTCCGNTCTCAAACCTTCGTCTTATTTTGGCATCACATCTTTCCCTCTCGATAAATTCTGTTAAAAAAAAATGAAAATGAAATATGAACACGACGTTACCTCAAGTCCAACCGTCTATAATGAAATTCAAAATTTAAGTTCGAGCCATTACACACAGCACGAGCTCACACGTACACACGCGGCTACGCTAAAGGTTAACTCGTAAAGAAAGTACGGTTTCCTTCATTCATTAGATAACGAGTTGAGAAAGATCGTTTTCCCAGTATCACACCTCGCCTCCCATTCCCTCGCATAAGTACCATATACAGTGATGGTAATTATAAGAATCCGTCAGTTTAATGGCAGTGTCTTATAATTCATGTTTACTGGCGCGGTATCGCATCGCCTCTCCCGGGTAATGGCTGACCTCGCGCTCGCAACCATTATAAAAACCGAGGATACCGCTACAGCCTAAGATTACGGGGCGCAGGCAATTACCCACCCACACCCGGGATATATATATATATATATATATATATATATATATATATATATATATATATATATATATATTATATATATACTTAATATACATACATACAACACACACATACATATACGTATATATATTATATAAGTATATATATATATATTATATATATATATATATATACATATGTACATTATATCTAACAGGAATGCACATTTGCATCTGCCCTGCGTGCATTTTGTTCAGACTTCTCAACGACGCGACGCCCGGAATTATGCATGTACGTCGTGTCAACTCCCCGTTATAACATGCTCGTATGGCATACCTTACGGAACACACACAAGCTCATTTATTCCTTTCAAGTAACAACTCCGCCCAACACCTGCTTGTGATTTGGCCGATTCATGCACACTCTACATCACACTGTTATATAAGCTTTACAATAAATTTTCTGTCAGTTTCGCGATGTTTTTCTAAGATTTTCGAAGGTAAAAAGGCACATGAACTTTTGCGGTTTATTCCATATTCCATCGATTGGATAAAGTTGTTTATATCATCTACCTCTCAGCTCAGCTCTTGGGAGAAAAGGAAAGGGCAAGAGAAGGCAAGACTAGTTTTTAGTAGAGCTTCCAAATTTCGCACAAGTTATTATACAGCGCCTTCACAATTATGCTAACCTTACTCGTTTCTTTTTTTGTGATGCATGGATATCTGAGGGCTGAAAATGTGTTTTTGGTTGTGAAAGGCACGTGATATAAATAACAACTAATTCTAATAACCCTAAAATAAGCAAAATGTACAGTAAACAACAACCACAGAAAAATAACGGTGCAAATACAATAGTCAAAAGCTAATAACAATTATCGCATCGTTAGCGGTGGAGTGTTAGTTCGTGACGTCACAAATTACAGCCATTTTGCAAACACTTAAACCATTGTCGTCTTTATGTACACTGAATACCTCGTAAATGGCATATACATGTGTAAATAACATCAGCACTTATACATACACGTTTTTTCATACCGCGAGGAAATTGACTTGCACGCCACTTTACAAGGAAAGATAGTACACCACTCTATTACCATAAAACCTAAAAGTACGAAAAAATAATAAACAGAAGAAGGAAAGGTATCGCATATTACACAAACTAACCGGTTGGAAAAGAAATAGAAATTGTACAGATGGCCAATGAACAGTACCTCGGTTCGCCCGGGAAGAATTTATGAATGGAAACTCCTGCACTTGCGCTCTTTCTTGTGCTCTCGATCGGTGAATTATGAACCCGAATCGAGTAAGAGGGAGGAGGGAAAAAACGCTAAAGGGGCTGAGATAAGGATCGAGTAATTGCTCACAAGAAGGCATAAAGTAGAGTGATATGGAAACTTGTTCTGATGGAGGGAGAGGAATGAAAGAATGGAGGAGGAGGAGGAGGAAGGAGGAGGAGGAGATGGTGGGGAGGGGGGAGGGGAAGGAGAGGAAGGGAGTATATATAATATATTATAATATATATATATATATATAGAGAGAGAGAGAGAGAGAGAGAGAGAGAGAGAGAGAGAGAGAGAGAGAGAGAGACGAATTTGGCAAGGAGAAATAAAGGGAACGAAGATCAGCAAGAGGGAGGGAGGGAGGGAGAAACGGGCGACACCACACGCTCACATGCCCACGAAAAGGAAAGTGCAGGAGCTTTCCAACAGCTGATAACTTGTGAGCCCTTAGAAAGCCAAACAGGAGAAGATGTAAGTTTACGAAGCAAAAGTCGTACATGAGTACGAGTTGTTAATTCGACATCTACTTCGAGATATGGATTAGAAAAATGCCTGTTCCTCAAAATGCTACACTTACTATGAATACACTTCCACATTAGAATCCAAGAGATTAGGCGCGGAATCTACAGAATTACAATGTCAAGAAACATACGCTACTTCCCGCGGCAGGTTGCACACACAGGCTTTAAACGTGACTGCGTGCGTCAACGAAGGGCCACATATTAACACAATTCTACTATCAATTAACAAGAGAAAATAAACATTATTCGGCACGAAATACACTATCTTACCATAAACATGCGAACATTATCATCATATGCAATCAGATTGGAACATTATAATCGATACCACTCACACCAAACATTCCAACAGGATTTCCTATTTCTATCATCGATAAGCCGACTGAAATTTGCCTCTACAAAATCAATTCTCCCCCGTTACAAAGTCGCCCGGAGACCTGGATCCTTAAGTCACTCGGCAATATACACAAACAATAAGAAAAAACACACCACTATATAAAGAAAAGATATATCATCAGATCTATCCCAAAGTCTCGCTCGTACTCCTTCTTCCTCCTGAAAGGACTTTGAATATGAAGTTTTATTTTCTGCGACGATAACGGTCTTCATATTCGTCGCGCTGGATGCGGGGATACAAGAATTTCATTACACAAATTACATTAATAAGAAGACTATACTATAATTCTACTATTGACACATATCAGACTGAAGATAAAAATATATATCAAATATAGTAAATTAAATTGTATATATTATGTATACTATATCGAAGACTAATCCACGATTTTAAATAGAGAGAAATCAAACAAACGCTAAGATTAAAAGAGAGAAGAGGTTATCAATAAAACGGCAGAAGAGAGAGCAAAAGGCACGAATATACGACACACAAATGTAAGAACGAGAGAGGAGAGACTATTAGACCGGGTAAAAGCCTCAAGTGGGTGGTGTCAAGGCCAGAGCGTGAGGAACGAGTTAGAGAGGAAGAATATTAGGAAGGATAGTAAAAGCAATGATAGAGAATATGAATACTGGCCGCTGCGTAAAAAATGAAAAGAGAGCGTGCACTAGCTATTGAGACATGCGACAAAGATGCAGTACTAAAGCTGATTCTCCATTCAACATGAGTGCGAGATCGTTGGCCCAACTCTCCGTTTCTGAAGCCCCCCGGCCGGCAAGAGCGGACTTGGGGATTAGAGGGCGCTTCCATTATTCGATTTGTTTTGTCTTGCAATTTGGGTTTACGTTCCATATCAGTATGAAATTATATTCTCTTTGCTATAAATCTTTTACGTTTTCATATGTGAACTCATATCATATTTATTGATTTTTTTTTTACCCCGTCAACATCTAGGTCATCAGCGGCGCATACAAAATATAGTAATGGGGCGAGGCTTGGGGGCGAAGCCCCAGGTTAGGAAAGGGCATACAACATTAAAAGTATTGTGACACAAAGGTAAACAATGAATTAACATCAAGGTCAAAATATGTTGGGTAAAGCCTGTAGAGAGAGCGGTTGGTTAGTATGGCAGTGAAAATGGCAGAGGGAATAGCAAACGGAGTATGAAAGCCTTTCAGGACTGACACGTAGCCAGCCTTTCATCTTTTCAGCACGACTAACACTTAAGGATATAGACAGAAGAGAGGGATGAAGTTAAGGAAAGGAAAGGAGGTGAAGGAAAGACCAAGCAAAATTCGTTGAGGCGAGGGCTGAGGTCCAAGGCAGGAGTGATCCCTCACACTGAGCCCCAGTCATCGTCTCATACCTCCCATGATGTCAACGAGCATAGGATTGGAGGGGGGACTCTTACCAATTCTCCGAAAATGCCTTAATGAAGTTTTGTAAATTTCATCTATATTTCATCTATAACTAAAGCATCGATAAGTTCGCTTTAATATAATCGTAAAATAGGAGTGGATTAGCGTGAACAAAATACTTTTCTGATTAAGAGAAAGAGTAATAAACGCATTTCCTAGCAACCTGTCTGAGAACACTGGCCCGTGCATGGCTTCATATCTTCTTGTAGTAGTAGTTCTGCGCTCCAAAAGCTTCCCATTTCTAACGAAATTCTTAACTTTACTTCTGCCTTTGCTTAGTCAAAGCATACCACGTTATTTATTTTCCTTTGACGTTTTTAGAATTTCGTTGTAATAGGTATGTATGTGTGTGTAAATTGCGAGTTTGAATATAGGGATGCAGGTCTTATGGGTCGTCTTATGCTACACACACACCAATCAGAGCCTTCCATAAAACCCATACGTACACGCACGTACTCAAAACCCACACACACACATAGCTGCAAACACACACGCAGACATTTATGTTATTTCAACTGGCGTACGAATTCCTTTCACCGTTATCATTTCAGGGTTGATTGCAACACTAACCTGCATCAGAGGATATTCGAATATTATTTTAGCTAAATAGTTTAGATATTTTTATATCCTGTTTGTTTATTAGAGATTAACGTAAACAAAGAAAAAAAAACACGTTCACAAAGCATAGGTTTTAATTTCATTCTAAAAACGTATACATACAACAATAAAAGTATATCTGTAACAACATGTATAAGAAAAGAAAAAAAAGAAGCAAAGTAAATAGTAAAAGTAAATGTACAAAAGTTGAAAGCCAAAGCTTCTGCAGAATAAGATTTAAGTCGTTTTGTGCTTTTTTGT